ACTGAGTGAAACAGAAAAAGAACCTGTCAAAGAACTGTGGAATTCTGAGAATATGAGAAGAGTTGTGCATTTATTATTTACAAATATGGTAACACTTTATTTTAAGGTGTCCTTGTCACACATGTTGCATGTAATTACTATTATAATAACAATTAATTATGCATAATTACATGCAAGTAACCCTAATCCCAACCCTAAGTACATGTAGTTAATTGATATTACTCAGTACTTAAATGTATAATTACACTGTAACAAGGACACCTTAAAATAAAGTGTAACCCAACATATTTTAATTCACAATTCACAAAAAAAAGGAACACGAGTGATTAAATTGTGTTTAATTTTGTCCAAAAACTTCTCAGTCTTTGATGTTCTAATGGAAACACAACCTTACAAACCCTGCAACTACATTATTTTAACATCACACTCAACCGTTCCATACTGATTGACACAGTAATCTGTGGTTACACCTCGGAGTGTCCTCTCACACACACACACACACACACACACACACACACACATGTTGCTCTCGGTCTCAACAAATACTCTCACAGTGTCTCTTTGTCTATTGGAATTCAGTTGAGCAGCAAATTGAAGGTGCTGCCTGCTTAAAACCCTCCAAGAGAAACCCAGAAAACCCACAGCTGTTCTATCATCAGGATTGATCAGATACTCTGAAATTGGATCATTACGTCTGATTGAATCTGGCGCTGTGTGTCTTTGCTGCTATAGGGGTGAATTCATATGTGCGGGTGCATGTCGCTTTGTAAATAAGCTGTAATTGTAAGTCCCTGAGAGCACAGACATATTCGGTTGAGATGTCAATGTTAATGCTCTCTTAATAACATTTTAAACAGCTCCACTTAAACCTGATTTGTTCAGTCCAAATATGTGGTGGAGGAGATCTAAATTGAGTCTAGGGCTTTTTTACACTGTCATTTTCAGTGTGAATATGTGTGTGTGTTGTTCTAATATGATAATGGGATCATATTCCGTTTCACAAGTGCTCTGTCTCTTTAATTTGAAATACCCCTCCATCATAATGCAGGGTCTGACAGTAGGATGCACTTTCACATGAGGCAAACACATGAAGTGTAGACTGAATTAGAGATTATATAGTGCACTACAACTTATTTTTGTCGTAACTTATTTACTGCAAATCACACCGAATGCCAGGCTTACTTTGTTAAGTTTGAAAGCTAATGTAAACAAATTGAGTTCACATTTGATTCCATTAAACAACTGTATGTGAATTGACCCTGTTTAGAAAGCCAGAACTTTAGTTAATAACAGCTCCAAACACAAAACTGTGCTCTTCTGACAATACATTACACTCTAAAAAATGCTGGCTTATTTCAACCCAACTTTGGGTCAAATATGGACTAACCCAACTTTTGGGTTAAAAATGTAATTGAAAAATTTAACCCAACAGCTGGGTTAGTCCATATTTGACCCAAAGTTGGGTTGAAATAACCCAGCATTTTTTAACATCCAGTTACATATTCTGTAATATCTTATCACACTATGAAACTCTATGCATTTCATTGTGATTGATTCTCAGTTCCATTGCGACGTTGTCTTGCAATCTGTTAACAATTGTTTTTAAATAATTAGACATCTGTCCGGATTTGGGCTTTGGTTCTCAGGAACACTTTATCAACGGGACATCTCATGGGTCACACTAACCAGAGAGCTGGTAGGAGAGCTTCATATTGAAACAATTAAAAAAGAATCCTGTGCCACCAAAAATAGAAACTAATCAGGGACTTTGCCTTAAATTTTCTCCGGACGCAAATTCGGAAGTCCCTTTACAGTTGAGAATCAGACCCTGCTGAAAGGACGGATGAGGCCATAAACTCAATTGTCTCTATTTGAAGCAGTTTGTCAGCTCGTGTCTGTATCTGAAACACACACACACACACACACACACGCACACACACACACACACACACACACACAGAGTGTGGGCCTGAACTGGTGTGGTGCACTAAATCAGGGCAGCATAGCAGGTGTTTGACTCTCATTCTTGATGATCCTCTTCTCTGGAAAGTGCTCTAACTCATCATCTCACATGCTGCTTTATTTGAGTTGCGTCTAAACAGAAAACTGCTGTGGCTTCATCCTGACACGGTGGGCAGTTGGACTGAGCTGTGTAATTATTATGGGGCTGACCACATGGATAGTAACATACTGTTCTGTGATGTCAGTATCTCATTTAAGAGAGACCAACGTTTTTCTGTCGTCCTTTAAAATTAAAACCACTCTTGAAAATGGCTCTAAATATATCAGATTTGGTTTTTAAGTTGTATTACTAGCAAAATAGAAAAAAAGAAATAGATTTAAAATAGATTTTTTTAAAGATTCTACAATAAAATAGAAGCCTAGTGCAGGAAAAAAAAGCAATTCAGATTAGTGAAACATTATTCTAAAGTTAACTTCTATTAATATCGTTAAATAACCTTTCTTTTTAGAATTTTATTAAAATACCATTAAAGACAGATTCTGTCTTTATATACTTTAGATCTGGAGATCTAACTAATAAATGTATTATTGTCGCTATGCTAAAATGTTACAAATCATATTCGATAATAATAAGAATGGCATTGCATTATTATAAATCATTGATCAAATGAGAGCATTTGCTAAATAAATAATTTGACACGTGTAATTATCGAATTTGAAGCTAGTCTTGTTACATGAAATTTGCTGTCCTTATTCCGTATAACATGTTATATATGCGTACCTCGTAAATTCAGAATAATCGAAGACAATAAACACGTGTTCAGTTTGTTCTGAATGGTGATAATTATCGGCTGTGATACTGTCATTATTGTGTCTATTGATGAGGATCCCCGAGGTTGATTGCGAATGTCATTTGAAATACAGATTGCTTTAAATTGGACCATTTTGAGGACGGTGGGCATCTAACAGGTATTTGTCAAATGTGGTCGTCAGTCCATATCATGTGGGCATCGTGTTGGTGCCAGTTACATTTTTGTGCAATATTCTGGAGTTTTTCTTGTCCGAGGTTTTTCTGATTTCACTGTATTTTATTATGACGGGATGTAAGTGAACACATGTGGAGATCATGACCATTTCGAGGAAGACTGGGGAAAAGAGAGATAGAAACGAGAGGAGGATGCGGAGGTGTCGCACACAAACGGTACCGGTCTCCTTCTCTTCTGCGTCTTGTGAAAATGAGCGCTTTTATTCTTCTCTTCTCTTGGCATGTTAGTTATCTTGAAAACGGATATATCTCCAGCTCGCGTTGTTATCGAATATCTAAACAAAACGTTTGATTGAATTGCTTTGTCTGTCATGAAGCATGTTTCTGAAAAGCTAAACATGAGAAAAATCGGTTACAATCGGTTAGAGTTACTTTCATGCGTCGCCGTTTATAATTTTACACCAGTATTTTAATGTCACAGTTATCCAAGCCGTAACAAAATGCTGCTTGTTCTTTGAAAACGTTTGACAGATTATAAATGAGTGATACTATTTAAAAAATGAAAGCTGTAAGCAAAGCGCCCATGTTCAGTTTAATGGCAGACAGATCTGTAGATAATTCTGCGCCACAATTTCCCAGTCTGGTGGTCAACTTTATTTTAATTCATTGCCAATCAAAATAATTAATATGAATACGATTGCATGCTTTTTTAACTTTGGTGGTTTCTGATTTTGCTTCCTTAATCTCGGATGCAGAGTCATTAATAATTATACAAACCTAAGATTTTTGTTTTGTTTGTATTTAGGAAAAAAAAAAGCATTTAAAGGTTTTTTAACGGATCAGAAAGTAGATAAATATAACTGCAAGTGTGCAATTGATGTGATAATAGCTGACGTGGTGCTGTGTAAACGTATAAATGTAGGTAGTAAACGTCGGGACAATATATTGCTTTGGTGTGCTATTTGTTGATTTGTTTTAATGCTTTTTATTTATTTAACTATTCCTGCATTGTTGGGCCTGCCACGTGTGGATTCATCGCACTTAAGCTTCACATCTAAAAACGAAAACCTGCAGACTATTTTAAAATAACCGTACAATATAAACCAAAAACACTGCAACGTTAACCAAACTCAGATCTGATAGGAATTCGCCAGATAGCAGGAGCTGACCTGTTTCTCTGATCCTCACGCGCAATAATTCAACCCACGCGCGCGCGAGGGATGTGGATCTGCACAACGCTGCAAGTGTTAAATACACAGCTAATTATGCGTATGAAAATTAAATAACAGCGTCATGCTAATTTAGCTGCTTTCAGCTGTGTCTTCATGCACTCGAGACTAGCATTTTAACCAAATGAATCATCAAAGTAATTCATCTTTGCTTGGAGACACACATTTATACCTGTACTTAATCATATTTGTTAGATGTTAAATGCTTTGTTCACGAAGCCGTGACCAGCAGAAAATTCAAGAGCATGCTACATTTGTTCATCATATCGATGAACATCATATTTCTATTGTTATGTCAAATAATTTTGTTTGATGTTGTTAGTACTTATTTATATTAAATTTGTACTTTAATAATAATAATAGCCTAATAATGTCAGGGCATTATTATTATTATGCACTGATCATGTGAAAACAAATTGTTTGTGAAAGAACATGTTAATGATTCGTTTTAATGTGTAGTATTGTGTTAATGAACACTGTTTCTCAAATATCAAAACCAAACATCAAAATCTGATGATATGTTTACGTTGCGTCTGGTAAACGTTGTGGCTCCACGCACGGCCTATGCGTCTCGGTCCATTCCCTAAATTTCTACATTAGCATTGCACAACAGAGTCACAGGTTGGTCTTGTTTCTTGAGTTTATCAGGTCCGTCGGACCCGACCCTCGGATTACCAATCCGCGTCGCTCTTGGAGGGAGTGGACCAATCAGAGAGCACCTTGGATACATATTCATGATTCCCTGATTCAAACCTTTGAGCGTGTTTGTGTGGATCCACAGCATCGTACCTAGACTTTTCACAGAGACAAACTACATTTTCTTATGAATGGAAAGTGAAAAAATCAGTTGAGCTTAAATTGGGATCCATCCTTCACTCAGATCATAGAAGAAAACAAAAAAGCAGGGAGATAGAGAGAGAGAGCGAGAGACATGACCATGTCTACAATACCAGAGAGTCTAAACAGCCCAGTCTCAGGAAAGAACGTGTTCATGGAATTTGGGCCACCAAGTCAGCAAATGTCGCCTTCGTCTATGAGCCACGGACATTATTCAATGCACTGTTTACACTCCTCCGGACACCCGCAGCACGACAGCGCATACAGCCCGGCTCCGTCCTTCCCCAGATCTCTGCCTTATCCATACGTCAACTCGGTCGGTAGCCATTCCTCCAGTCCGTACCTCAGCACCGTGCAGACGTACCCAAACAACTCGGCTTTGGCGCAGACCAGACTGGAGGACCCAGGTAAGAAATGCTGCGTGCATGTCTTTGGTCTTCGCTGGTCGTTGCGTTTGTCGGCACGCTGCGAGAATGTTGGACTGGAGTAGCCCAGATGTGCTGTTATTAGGCTTGGTAATTATTTATTGCGTAATGCTATAAACAATGTATGCAATTAAGGCTAATTATACCTAAAGTGCCGCCTGTAAAACTTGTGCACAGTGATGTGAGCCACGCTGCATGAACAGTCTGTGAGACAGCTTCTTTTCTTTCTCCCTCCCAGCGCCGGAGTCAGAGAAAAACACCGTGGTGGAAGGAGGAGAGGTTCGTTTCAACGGGAAAGGCAAAAAGATCCGCAAACCCCGAACCATCTACTCCAGCCTCCAGCTGCAGGCTCTGAACAGGAGGTTCCAGCAAACTCAGTATCTGGCTCTGCCGGAGAGAGCCGAGCTCGCCGCGTCTATGGGGCTCACGCAGACACAGGCATGTGCCCGTTATTTTGCGCCGTTTCAACAAACCAATTCGATTTTGTGAACGAATTTACACAACCATTCAATGCTTTAGTAACTGCATCTTCTCATGCTCGTTTTGAAATCTCTATGTAACACGGGCCTGTAGCTAATCAAGGGTTGCACCTGTTTGAGGGAAATATTTCAAGAGAATTAAAATCGATTCGATTGCATGCTATATAGATAACAGAAACAGATGCTGTCGCTCGCTCTGACTTCCCTCGCCTTTTTTTTCTCTTTTCTAGGTGAAGATCTGGTTTCAGAATAAACGCTCCAAGTTTAAGAAACTGATGAAGCAAGGCGGAGGAACAATAGACGCGAACGCTTTGGCAAACGGGCGCGGACTGTCCACCGGATCTCCATCCTTAGCGCCCGTCTGGAACTCAACAGTCAGCGTCAAAACATCCACACCGACCTCGTATATTCCCAGTTACACCTCATGGTATCCCACAACACACCAGGACACTATGCAGCAGCCGCAGCTCATGTGAACCAGCACTGCTGACACAACCCCGCCCCTCTATCCACCAGTGGCCCAGTTCAGGGGACCCAACACAGGCCAGTCACTCTGCGGTCTTACACACACACTGGCCCTCCGCAGCCCAGACCAGATGCGACCCGGAGACGCTCTCTAAAAGACACCTGCTGACACACACTGGCCAGCGTGGACTGAGCGAGGGTCGTCTGCACCGGAGAGGAAACGCGTCTCTTTTTGAATGGAAGGGAATGCCGGGAAAGTGGGTCAAATCAAAGCTGCTGCTCTCCCCCTTTTCTCCGTGACTTTTTTTTTTTTTTTTTTTTTTTGGTGTAAAAAAAAAACATAAAAC